GAGAAGCTGTCTGAACTAATTAAGAATTGTGTCTTGCTATTAATCTAGCTTGGGACTGCTGGACTAAACCTGGGCTTGTATTGTGTCATATTCTTTGCCTCTCCTGCTGCCCAGCCTATTTCCCTTAGAAACTCTACAATTTTAAGTAAAGTCTATGAGTCAACTTACAATGAACATTGGGCCCAAGAATTGGTAGAAATTGGAGCAGGAGCTTGTGGGGTGGCATATCTGACCTGTTTGTGAGATACTATGGATATTGTTGATGGGGAAAATTCTCCTTTTTGCTACAGGTAAAAGTCAGAGCTGGCCTGTTAAATGTTGTATCTGCTCCTTTTACATATTATATAATTGAGGTTGTGTCAATAAAGTTCTAAAATGGTTTTTAAAATAGAATGATACACAATCACAAACTTCACAGTAGTAAAGAAGTTTTAATATATGTGAAAATAAGTGTTAGCACAAGGACCATATTTTCATCAAATTTCATCATTTAGATAGACTGTTATCAGTGGTAGAATTACAGAATTGTTAATTGTTCCTAAAGAAGCTATGAAATATTAGACACATGCCACTTCAAAACTTAATTGCTTACATCTGAAGCATATTGTTGTTGTATACTCTTAGGTTGGAACTGACTCATAACTGACTCTCCAATGAGTTTTCAGAGGCAATATAATCACATGGGAGAAGATTGACCATCTCTACGCTGTAAAGCAGCTGGCATACTTGAGCCACATTCCTTTAAGAAATGTAGAGAGTCAACAAAAAAGAGGAAGAGCCTCAGTGAGATGGATTGACACAGTAACTTCAACAACGGGTTTAAGTTTGTCAGAGAGGCTGAGGATGGCACAAGGTAAGACAAGGTTCAGGTTTATTGTTCATAAGGTCACTTTGAGTCCTACTAAACTTGATAGTCTAACAGCAGCAAGAAGCCACGAAAACTCCCTCAAACATATTGAAAATATAAAATTTTTACTTCTGTTTACTGTATTGATAATTTCAGGATGACGTTATGTAAAAGATAGATTATCTTCTGAAATTACCTATCAGTGAAGTAGTTATCATTTTGGTTGGAAACTACAGAAAGCAAAACAGCTGTATCTCAACTTGACCTGAAGCCAAGCAAAACTTCCACGTTTTATTTTAAGCATGAAGATTTAAAGTGAAACCCAGAAGGTAAAAACCCACAAATAAACCGATCTTACAAGTATATACATCAAACCCCACAAAAGTGAAGCAGTTTTTTATGAGGTGGGAGACAATTTACTTGCTTGACATAAAATATGTTATAAGTGAAGTTGGTATCCATTGATGACAATTTAGGTCAGAAAAATAATCATGGAGAGAACGTTGACCCTTCTAAAAATTCAGAGGTCACTGTACTAAAACTTGCTTTGCTTGAAAGTCTATAAACTCTGAGAAAATAACTTTCCTCTCACAGCTTCCATTTCCTTAATTGGTTGGTTGTCTTTTTTTTTTTTTTAAATAGGATTAAATGGTATTCCATCTTTCTGAAACTACTTAGCTGCATAACTGTGTAAATACTATTTAATAATTCAAATTGCTGCCAATTAAATCATATAATATACATATCACACACTCTGTAATTCAAGTGAATTAATACAAAATACAATCCATTTTTTATTCAAATGGACCAATAAGAAATATTAACTGAAAATATTTTTCAACAGCTGAATGGAAATTGGAAATACAGTATTACTTTGACTTACATTACTCATAACCTATAACTATGAAGCTTCCTATGAGGAAGTGAAAAAATATGAGACATTACAGTCATAGGGTGAGAAAAAAATGAATAGAAACTTACTTAGTAATATAAATGCAGGTGACCCCACAGTAAATGGATGAAAGGAAATATATGAGTTTAAATTCTCTTCTAAATTTGTTTTTTTGTGGTATAACCATCTTGAAATTTTATTTATATGGGCAATAGTTGTCATGAAACTCAACCGAAATAAAGGAAACATTATAGGACTTTGAATTGCAACTACTAGCAGTTTAGAAGACATATTAATTCAACTTCCATGCCATACTTAGTAACTGGCAGGAGTTTAGATGGTATGGGAAAACCCTATAAATACCATATGAAAAGTAAATTTCCAGAATGATTCAACATAACCTGTGATGACTAACCTCAAAAGTGATACAAAGTGTGTAATAATCAAAGATGACAACGTATATCTGGCAAAGGTGACAGAGTATTTGCAGGAACCACATCAAACTTAATTATTTGAACCTCAGTGTTACAATACACTGAATACATCAGGAAACTAGAGAATGATGACTCCTATTGAAGAAGTAATTTGCTTGTAATAGATACTTAATTAAAAAGAATGATTTTTACAGTAATTTTGAAGATACATAGACATGTACTTTTTGGTCACTCGAGCCTGTGGCATTCAGGCCTGCCTGCTTTTAATTGTTTTTGGTCAAACATTCTTCTAAGAGGTATAGTGCTGGTATGTCCATTTGCTGTACAGAGGTAACTCATGGTTGCTGTCATTCTGAACACTGTGACACTGATGCATCAAATGTGAGAATGGTTACCCATGGTGGACAGTGTTTAATGGAGCTCCTCGATTAAAACAAGCTTGGAAGCAGAAGTAGCATCCACTTCTGAAATAGCTTGTCTCTGGAAACTCTATGAATGTGGAGAAATGAAGAAAGTTACACAAGTGTTCAGGTCTTTCATTCATAGGGTCACTATGAGTTGCCTATGACTAGACAACACCTAACAACAACAACAATATATACTTGGACACTCATATAACAGATTTGAGAAAGTTCCACTTGGGTTTGGGAAATGGATTTTCTAGAAACAAAGTATTGGAAGTCATTGGAACAGATCTTAATAGATAGATTACTATGTAGTGAGGTGTAGTTTTGAAGGTAATTCATTGGGTTCGATTTTTTAATTATTCTTTGTGTATTGTTGTTGTTGTTGTTATGTGCCATCGAGTCATTTGCGACTCATAGCGACCCTATGTACAACAGCTCTAAACCCTGCTCTGTCCTGTGCCAATCGCATTGCCTCTGACACACCCATCCCGATTACCCCAGTCACTGAATCAATCCACCTCATAGAGGGTCTTCCCCTCCTTCACTGTCCCTCTACCCGACCAAGAATGATGTCCCTCTCCAAAGACCTGCCTCTCCTTACAACATGTCCAAAGTATGTCAGACGAAGCCCCAGAATCCTTGCCTCCAAGGAGTAGCCTGGTTTAACCCTCTCCAGGATGAATCTGTTTTCTTGGCAGTCCATGGTACATTCAATACTCTTCTCCAGCACCACAGCTCAAAGGTGTCAATTTTCCTTCAATCCTCCCTAGTCATTGTCCAACTCTCTGATGCATAACAAGTGATTGCAAAGACCATGGTCTGTATCAGACGCACATTCGTCTCCAGAGAGACACCGTTGCTCTTGAGTACTTTAGAGAGGTCCCTAACCGCAGACTTTCTCATCGCAATACTTTTTTTGATTTCCTGGCTGCTGGTGCCAAGAGTGTTGACCATGGAGCCAAGCAAACTGAAGCTGTGAACAATCTCAGTCTCTTCGCCATCCATCCTGATGCTACCATTGGTCCAGTGGTGAGAATCTTTGTCTTCTTGACATTGAGCCTCAGTCCATATTCAAGGCTGCAGTCCTTGACCCTCTGCAGCAAGTGCATGAGCTCCTCCTCAGTTTCAGCTAGCAGGGTTGTGTCATCTGCATAACGCAGATTGTTGATAGATCTTCCACCAATCCTAATGCCACGTTTTTCCTCATAGAGCCCAGCATCTCGGATAATCTGCTCTGCATACAGATTGAAAAGGTATGGAGATAGGACACATTCCTGGCATACACCCTTCCCAATTTTGAACCATGCAGTATTGCCCTGCTCTGTTCTGACGACTGCCTCTTGGTCCAAGTATAGGTTTCGCATTAGCACAATTAAATGTTCTGGGATTCCCATTCTTCTCAGAGTCAGCCACAATTTGTTATGATCCACACAGTCAAATGCCTTTGCATAATCAATGAAACACAGATAGACATTCTTCTGGTATTCTCTGCTTTCAGTGAAGATCCATCTAACATTAGCTACATTATCCCTACTACCACGACCCCTTCTAAACCCAGCCTGGACTTCTGGTAGTTCTCTGCTGATGTACTGTTCCAGTTCTTTTTGGATAATCTTCAGTAGAATCTTGCTTGCATGTGAAATCAATGATATTGTTTTGTAGTTTCCACAATCAGTTGGGTTGCCCTTCCTTGGGATGGCAACAAATATAGATCTCTTCCAGTCAGTTGACCAAGTGGTTGTTCTCCAGATTTCTTGGCACAACTTGGTGAGCACGTCCAGGGCAGCATCTGTTAGCTGAAATATGTCAATTGGTATACCATCTATCCTGGGGCCTTATTTTTTGCTGTTTCCTTCAAAGCAGCTTGAACTTCTTCCTTCATCACCATAGGCTCTTGCTCAAATATTATTATTTCATTAAATTCTTCTGTGTCTGCCAATTCCTTTTGATACAATGACTCAGTATATTCCTTCCATCTTCTTTGATACTTCCTGGATCATTTAACATTCTGCCTAAACCATCCTTGATTATAGCAACTCGAGGTTTGAATTTGTTCTTCAGTACATTAGCATTTAAAAATATTTATGACTGAGAATGATTAAATTGTTATTTTTTTAGAATGATTTCCTCTATGGTATCTGTTTGCTCCTTTAACATAATTTATTTAGCTCCAATATTTTACTATTGATAACATAATAATTGTTTGGATGGCACAGGATTGAGTAATATCTCATTCTATTGTACACAAAGTTGCTGAGTCAGCACTGACTTGATGACACCTATCAACAACAATGTTAATTAAGTACTGAAGTGTTTTAGAAGGAATTTATAAACTAAAAAATGCGACAGGAAGCATAACGTAGAATGAAATTGTAAAATTTTAGTTAAAATATTTAGCTTGTACTTACAATTGGAATCAATTAACCTCTGGAATTTGAAAGCCGGTTCCCACCAATTCTATCTACAGGGATACCAAATCGTCTTTTAGGATGATCTACTACTTTTCTGAAATAAAAAAAAGAAGAATATTTTTAAGCTAAAGGAAGGTTATACATTATTTATTTTTATTCTTTTAATTCATGCTCCTTCAGGAACCTTCCATGAGAGTCATCATAAAATTAGTAGTCATCCTAAGTACCATTCATTGACCACCCATCATGTACAGACATTATCTCATACTATTTCACATCTAACAAGAAAGACATTGAGGTCTAGAGAAGTGAAGCAACATATCCAAGCACAATTCCCCAATGTCTATATGGAGCTTTGGTGGCCTACTTGTAAAGTAGCTCTACAGTGATCCCAAAGGCACACAGTTCAAATCCACCAGTTGCTCTGTGCGAGAAGGATGGACAATCCTCCCATGCAATTTCCTACCTCAGAAAACCCACTGGAGGATGAGCTATGAGTTGGTTCCAACTCCATGGTACATAAAAATAACAACATTATGTCTCCTTGAGTGGGAATTGACTCACAATGGACTCCCCAGAAGGTTTTCAGAGTCTGTGAGTCACACAGTAAGAGACTGCCCATTGTTCCGCCATGGAGCAGCTAATGGATTTTAACCTAGGGTTGGCAGGACAACTCTTCAGAAACTGGGCTGCTAGTCTGTTAATAAGGCATTTCTTCTTCTTCTTCTTCTTCTTCTTCTTCTTCTTCTTCTTCTTCTTCTTCTTCTTCTTCTTCTTCTTCTTTCTCTCTCTCTCGTTGCTGTTAGATGTGGTTAAATTGAGTATGACTCATAATGACTCTATGAACAACAAACCTTGCTGTAGTCATCTTGTCATTCCATTTTGGTACTTCTCTTCATCTTTCTTCACTTTCCAAGGAATAGCCTTTCCTAGTAACATGGCCAAAGTGTGAGATACATTGCTATCCTTGTCTTCAAGGAGGACTCTGGTTGCACCTTTTCTAAGACATGCCTGTTCATTCTTTTGGCAGCTCATGGGGTATTTAGTACTATTCTCCAACTTCAGAACTCAAAGACCTCACTTCTTCTGTTATCCTTATTCATTGTCCAGTTCTCAAATGCACAAAAGACCATGGCCTATATCAGGTACACCTTGTCTTCAAACTGACATCACTGTTGTTTAGTATTTGACAGGAGACTTGCCCATAGCAATACACCTCTTGATCTTCAGACTGTTGGTACAAGGGTGATGATTGTGTATCTAAGTAGGATAAAACCATTAAAAGTTTCAATCCTCTCTCCATCTATCATGATGCTACCTTTTGGCCTAGTGCTAAGGATCTTTGTTTTCTTGCCATTGAAATGTAATCCATATCAAAGGCTATAGTCTTCCTCATTTTCAGTAAACAAGGTTGTGTTATCTGCATGGCGTAGGTTGTTGATGAGTCTTCCTCTGATTCTGAGACTGTGATGAGTCTTCTCTTCATAGAGTCTCTTCTTCTTCTTAGAGGCTGGCTTCATGAAGTGTTTACTCAGCGTACAGATTGAACAAGTAAGGACAGAGGATACAATCCTGATGCACACCTTTCCTGATTTTAAGCAATACAATGTTCTCTTGTTCATTCAACAGCTCCTTGATGTAGGTACAGAGATTGTGTGTGAGCACATTTTAGTGTTCTGGGATTCCCATTCTTCTCAGTTGGAGCTCTGGTGTTCTAGTAGGTAAGGAGTTGCCAACTCAAAAGCAAACAGTTCAAATTCACCAGCTACTCCACAAGAGGAAGCTGACCAGTCTACTCCTGTGCAATTTACAGTCTCTGAATACCCACTGGTAGATCAGCTTGGCACCGGTCCAGATTTAATGGCAATAAACAACAACAGAAACAACCTATTAAAGGATAAGGACCCATATCAAGAAACATAACATTATCAGCTGTCAAAGACTTTTGAAACAAGAAAGCATCTTAAAGGTTATTTTCAAAAAAATACAGGAACAAATGTTGCTTTTGTTTTTTCACATAGAAATAATATAGTTAATTGCTTCAATACCACAGTGATGTGAGACTTACTACCTTATAAGGCAACCTAAACCATTTTTAACAGCTTAAAGAGTTGTAAATGATTTGAATCAAATGTTTTCAGTAATTCCTAAAACCTTTCCTAATTACTCACATAGAGTTAGCAATCTATACTCTGTAATATTAAATATGAATAAAAACATCAATGTCTATCATTTTCTCCCTTACTATAATTATTTTTTGGTAGAGAGTGAAAAAATAAAGAAGCTATCAGTGAGATAGATTGGCACAATAGAAACCACAATGGACTGAAGCACAACAGTGACGGCCTGGATGGTGCAGGATCAGGCATTTTTTGTTGTTTTAATCTGTCACTTACATTTATAGGGTTGCAATAAGTAGAAGTCAATTCCACAACACCTAACAATAATCCTTTATTTTAACTTAGTGGTAAAAAGTATAGATACCAACCCAAAGGTACATAGTCTAAATTCACAAGTTGATCCAAAAAAGAAAGATGGGCAATCGCTTCTCATGTGATTCACGGCCTCTGAAAACCCACTACAGGGTCAGGTATGAGTCAACTCTAACTCAACAGTACATAAAAACAACAACTAAAAATGAGATTCTTAAAAATGGTTGTCTTAGAATAAATTATCAAGAATTGACCAGCCTTGGGAGTATAAAATGGTGAACCATTATAGAATGCAATATGGCTCTTTCTAAAAAGGGTGGAAATAGAAATATCATTTAACACAGCAATTCCGCTACTAGAAATATACTCTAAAGAAACCCAAACTACCACACAAACAGATATTTACACATCCATGTTTATTGCTGCATTATTCACAATAGCAAAGAGAGGGAAACAACTGAAGTGTCCATCAACAAATGAATGGATAGAAAAGCTAAGTATATTCACACAATGGAATACTAAACAGCACTGAAAGCCAAGGGACTCATAAAATATTACACAAAATAGGTGACCCCATAATGGTTAGTGAAATATCTCAGTCACAAAAGGACAAATTCTGCATTCTGCACATTTTATAAACAGGACTGCATAGGGGTTAGAGGGAAACTAAGAAAAGAAGGGATAAATAAGGAACACTGCATTGGAACATATGAAGGAAAGAACCAGTTAAAAGGAATATATGATTAGGCATTATTTGTAAGACAACAGTCCAGAATAAGGGGTGCATAGCAAAGTGGACTAGGGGAGGGATGGGGGAGACATAGAAAATGATTCAGAAATGAATGGGGTTTTTCCCCCTTTAAAGTGAACTGGGGAGGGGGCATCTAGGGAGGAAAATGTGCAACAAAAATGAATGAAAATCTAACTTTTCTATAAATTTTCATTAAAATTACAATTATAAAATAGTTTAAAAATAATTAGCCTCCAAAAAGTTATAGTCAGAATATCAAAGACTTCCATATGGCTTGCATCTCAACATCAGGGAGACAGAAATGGATCACTGGACCAATAAGCAAAATCATAATAAATGGAGGAAGGATTGAAAATTGATCTTACTACACGCACAGTGCACACCCTTAGAAACAACAGTCTGGAGATGTATTACATTGGCAAAATCTGCTGTAAGGGATCTATCCAAAGTAGAGGGGAACAATGATGTTAGTTTGAAGATTAACGTGCATCTGATTCAGGTCATAGTTTGTTCAATCACTTACTATGCCTCTGAGAGGTGGGCAAAGAACAAAGATGACTGAAGAAGAATTTATATCTTTGAATTGTGTTGGAGAAGGGCACTAAATATCTCATGTAGTGCCAAAAGAACAAACATATATCTTGGGAAAAGTGCAGTGAGAATGCTGCTTAGAAACAAGGATGACAAAACTTTGTCTTATAAAGCATAAACTTTGGCCATGTTGCTAGGAGAGGCTATTCTTTGGAAAGGAACATCATACTTGGAAACATAGAGGGTTATTGAAGAAGGAGAAGACGCTCAGAAAAATGGATTCACACAGTCACTACTCCAAGTCACTACTGCAAGGCTCAAGTGTGTCAGAGATGAGGATGTCACAGGATAGGATAGGATAGGATTCAGAACTGCTGCTTACGGAGTTGCTATGAGTTGTTCTTGTCTCAATGGCACCTAAAACCAAAAAATATGAGAATAAGAAGCATCTAATGAAAGTATTATCACGTCATCAGAGTTGGTTCTAATTCATGGATCCCTTTTATACAAGAGAACAAAGGATTGCCTGTACCTGTACCTTCTTCATCATTGTAACTCGTTAGTTATTGTGCCCCTTTTTATGCAAATAGCAGAGGAAATATCTCACATTCCCATTGACAGCATGTGTTTATCTTCCCAATCAGGTCTTCTCAATTTTGAAGACTATTGTCACCAGAAGTGAAAAATTATTTTTAAAACTATGAAATGTGTAGATAAAACTTGGAACATGAATGCTTTTAATACTGTTATAAATTGCATGCATAAAATTGCTTATTTCTAATTAAGGTTTTTAATTTAAAGATATATAGTCCAGTGAAATCTTTGTTCATAATTTTACTCAATCTTTTTTTTAATTTAATTTTAATGAAAGTTTACAGAGACTTAGGGTTTCCATTCATTCCATTTTACACATTCTTTAACTTAATAATTGCTTAGTACTTTCTATACATTTATAAGGTTTCTGATGGCCTGTTGTTTCACTAGTACTTGTTGCAGATAATAAAAGAATATAGCTTTCAGTATGAATTACATTGGAACATCAAGAAAACAAAAATCCTTACCACTGGACCAATAGGCAAGATAGAAGGAGAAATGATTGAAATTGTCAATGATTTAATTTTATTTGTAGCCACAATCAACATCCATGGAAGCAGCCATCTAAAATTAAAAGACATATGGCATTGGGGAAATCTGCTATGAAGGACCCCTCAAAAAATATTAAAGTGCAATGATGTAAGTTTAAAGACTAAGATGTGCCCGATCCAAGCCATAGTATTTTCATTGCTTCCTATGCATCTGAAGATTGAACAATAAAAATAAAGAAGATGACAGAGCTTTGAAATGTGATTATGGAGATTACTAAATATCACTTGGGCTACC